TTAATAATCAAATCAATCACAATGCAACAAGTGTCAAAGGGAGAGAAAGAGTCAAGTGAGGACGAAGAGAAGGTGGGGGGGACCATTGCCTTGCTCCCCAATGCTTTGCCCAAGCCTTGGTCCCCACCCCTAACAAAACCGGCACAAGGGGCTGCTGGGCTGGCAGCCAGCTAGCACACCAGCTAGTAGTGCCAGCAAGCCCAGCCAGCTAGCACCAGCCCAGCCAGCACAAGCATGATGCGTGTGGCTGTGCTGGGCAGTGCCTACGCTGCTGCTGCTTCTGCTTGCTAGGCGTTGGGCGCTGCTAGCAAGCTGCTGGCCCCTGCCTCCCTCGCCATCGCACACGCACACGCAAGGCCCTCGCACTCCCAGCATGCGTGCTGCTAGCGAGCCACGCATGCTGGGCATCGCCTTGCCAGCCACACGCACAAGCATGCGATGCTTGGTGCTGTGCCAGCGATGGTGCGATGGCATGCATGCACACGCACTGAGCGAGGCTAGTGCTGCTGCTGCGATGGTGCGAGACACACACGCACACGCACACACGCAAGCGCCCAGCACTACGATGGTTGTGCTTGGTGCGTGTGGCCTGCGATGGCACCTAGGCACCCAAGCACACATGCACATGGTGTTGCGATGCTAAGCATGCACGCATGCTAGCGCCTAGTGCTAACGGTGGTGCGCCTAGCACACCTAGTGTGTCTAGGCTTGCGCCTTGCCATGCTAGGTGCATGCTAGCTCGAGTTAGCCTAGCGTTCACATGGCTAGGCCATTGTGATGCTACGGCTATGCTCGAACTTGTTGCTTGTGATTTTGCGACACTCGGCCTCGACGCCCTAGGCTCGATGTCCGATGTATGTGTTCGTAAAACTCCGACGACTCATTAAATCCTTCGAATTAATTCGTCGTATTGGATTAGTTGTTCGATTGGGTTCGACCCGAAAGGTTCAGTTAAGATTAAGCTGTAATATTAATTATACCTTAATATTACTGATCGGAAGCGTCCTCCACCTAGGCATTCCGATCACTTGACGTTACTGAAGAATTAGCTCTGTAATAATTCTGAGCCCTCTATCAGAATAATACACTTGTTGGAAGGACACCATTCCTTTCATTTTCCTTGAATTGATTTTTAAGATTTTTTTGGAGCTTTTTTTTTTGTGTAAATGACGTGTTATTTTATGGGATTTTATGGGGAGACTTGGGCTGATCGTGTTATTCATTTATTTCAATTAGTATTTCATCCGTTCCCCTAATATTGCAACACATACGTTGAATTTTACGTTTTTCAATTCATATATATCTAATTTAATACAAATATTAAAATAGCATATATAGATAGCATTGAAAGAAGAGAAGGTATTGGATGCGGATTGCCGCTATTTGCGTGCGGCAGACTTGGCTGATATATTTCACTTGTTGGCTGATATGTTTCATGTGTTGGCTGATATGTTTCATTTGTTTCCTGATATGATTTTTGTATTGGCTAATATATTCCTTTTGTTGGTTGATATGTATTTATTTATTTATTTATTTATTTATTTATTTATTATTTTTTTTTTTTGATATGTTCCTTTTGTTGGCTGCTATTAGCTAGACATCAGTTGACTGATATGTTTCTTTAGTTGGCTGATATCTTTTATTTTGTTGGCTGATATGTATATTTTAATTGTTGGCTTTTATGTTTCTTTTTGTTGGTTGATATGTTTATTTTGTTAGCTTACCTATTGCTTTTCTTTACTGATTTCATCCTTTTGTTGGTTGATATGCTTCATTTGTTGGCTGATATTTTCCTTCTGTTGGCTGATTTATACATTTTATTAGCTGATATATTCTTCTTGTTGGATAATATGTATCTTTTGTTGGCTGATAGGTTCCTTTTGTTGGCTGATATGTTTTTATTAATGTCTAATATGTCCCTAATGTTGACTGATATCAGACATCAATTGATTGATATGCGTCATTTGTTGTCTAATATGATTAACAACATACAAATAAAGTATATACAAAGTATTTTTATTTCCTTCTCTCTCCTCTTTCCCCCTCTTCCTCTCTTTCTTTCTCTCACCTTCAAATGAGAATGGGAACAAACAAATAAAATCAACAGCTCTCAAATCCTCACGCCATCACCACGCACCCCCACGCCACCACACACCCTCACGCCAAGATACCATTATAAGGAACTAGTACAACAAGATACCCTTCCTTCGCCAATAACTCAATTAGATAGCTGAAATAGAAACAAAAATCACAAAGAACTAACAGTAACACTCGATATCCAAGCTTTCTCTCTTAGCAACAAAAACTATAAATTCACATAATTAAATCCGAAAATCAAAGTCCCAAATGCCGATTATACACATGTATAACGCAAACAACTCCTTAAATAACTCCTTAAACAGCTGAAACAAAGAGCAACACCCCTCATGATTAATTAAATCCTCACGGCACCACCACAAATCCTCACGCCGCCACCACAAACCCTCACGCCAATTGCAAATCATATCACCACTTACCACCAACGGCAAATCGCAAATCGCATCACCACCAACCGCGAACCGCAAATCGCATCACCATTGCATCACCGGTCGAAAATCGCAAATCGCATCACCACCAACTGCTTCACCTTTGTCATCGTCATCTTCATTTTCGATTCAATCAAAAAATGAATCATTTTCTCCGATTTGGTTGGCTAATTTAAGCATTATAGTTGTTATGTGAATTGTGAGCCCTAAAATCACAGTTTTGTTTGAGAATTGAAATGAATGAGTAAGTTTCAATTGTGTTTGAAGGGAAAATGGGGTGCCGCACGAGATATTGGGTGCAGACTGCCACACCCAATAATTTGTGTTGAAAGAATTTAAATTAAAAGAAAAACAAGATTTTGCATACATCTACCTACCACTTATTGGATATCGAAACAAAAATACCTAACAGGCTAACATTCTTTTTATAATCTGTGAATCAACTTCCTAATTTCAACTTATAAATTACTTAATTAGTTAAGATGACCAATTTTTGGATTAGGGTTTCCAGCATTTATGGTTTTTTTTCCCTATATTAGGATTTTGGGTCATTTCCTATAAGAGTGTTTTTTATTGCGATAGTTGCATAATAATTCTTAGGCCACACTTTTAGAATTTTGTAGCAGGTGCTCTCGATAAGTAATGTCATCGAAAGATTGAAGTTAGGTATAAATTAAAATCAGCCGGACTAAATCAAGAAGTTAAAAAACAATAAACAAATGATAATTTCGTATTGTAAACACATTTATTAAACAGCTACTTCGTAAAACAATAATAACAAAAGGGGGGAAACAAAAGGGCGATGAATTACTATACAACCTGCCAGATAAAATACTACGCTATTAAAAAAAAAAGTGTTCCGTTCATATATCTTTATATTCTTTACAGTTATTATTCATGTTCATCATTCAGGATGACTATTTATTTCAAGTAGAGCTGTCAGTTTTTGACTCGAATTGTTAAATTCGACTATTTTAAACCGATCCGAAAAGAAATCGAATCGTTAAAAACCCATTTTTTGAAAACAGAAAACCAACCCGACCTAATTTTTTCTAACCTGAAACTGAACCGAACCGAAGTTGTGCAAACCGTTAATGACCCGACCCATTATCAGGTCAAACCATTACAACCGAAAACCGAAAGCAACCCGAACTGATTATGTCCGAACCCGATAGTAACCCAACCCATTTTAAACCGAAAACCGTTTAAACCCGGCAAAAATCCGATTAACCTGAACCGTTCCAACCCGTACCCGCTTTGACCGAACCGTTTATAACTTGTAACCCGTTAGGACCGAACTGTTTACAAGCCATAACCCGTTGTGACCGAACTGTTTACAAACCGTAATCCATTATGACTGAGCTATTTACAACTCGTAACCTAATATGTTTATGATCTGATTCGTTTCAATCCACTACTCGATAAACCCAACTTATTTAAGACTTAACTTGATTATAACCTAACCCGTTCCTACATATTATCTGATTAACCAGACTCGATAATGATCCGACTCGATTTTAACCTGATATGATTTGAACTTAAACACGCTTCATATTCGTTAAAACTGTTTTCAAACAAACCCAATTCAATCTAAACCGATTTTAACCTTAATCAATAATGACCCGACCCGATTTCACCCGATTTGTTTTGAACCAAAACCCGTTTTCAAACCGACCCAGTTTTACCCAAACTGATTATGACCCGAACCGATTACAATTCGACCCGATTAGGACCCGAACTATTTTGAACCAAAACCACTTTAAACTGGCTAAACCCATTTTCTAACCTACCCGGTTTAACCCAAACTATTTATGACCCGAACCGATTACAACCTGATCTGATTAGGACCCAACCCGAATAGAAATCGCAATTAAAAAAACCAAATTGAACTGATCCGATAATTTTCAAAGCCGACCCAAACTAACCCACTAATCATTTCAACCTGTTATAACCCGAAACAGTTAAACCCAACCCAAAACTAAATCGTTTACCCAAATTGACACCCCTAATTTCAAGTTACTATTTCATCTCGACCAAGATGAACTAATAAATTATTTAGAATTAATGCATGTAACGCGTGCATACAGGGCTTGTATATTTATGTGGAAACGACTTTTCTAATACCTAAAACAAATTCTATAAACTTGAACGCGTACACATACACTATTTTTACTCAGCAATTAGGCTACAATCCAAGAATTAATTACTCTTTTAAGTCTTTTGACATCATCCAATTTTCATCATTTTGAATCAATCGTATTCTAGGCATTTACGTGACAAAGAACAAGTCATTGACATGCACAATTGATACTCTTCTTATGACAAAATTAATATCCTTCTATTTTTGTTTATGTTTATAAATTTTAGGATTTTTCTATATTTATGCAGCGAATTTCAGCATATATAGGGTGCTAAATGTTGCTAAGAGATGCAAGAACATAAATCCACAAAGCTAATTAAAATTATTCGTAAACAATGATGAATGGTCTAGCAGTTTTTTCCATGCTCTTTCTTTTAGCTAAGCCTTTTTCAGCAGGTAGTGCAAATATCGAAATCGATTATTGTATTGCAGACCTTAGTCTCCCTAGGGGACCTCAAGGGTATGCTTGCAAAGATCCTGCTAAAGTCACAACTGATGACTTTGTTTTCACTGGATTTCGTGGTGAAAAATCCATCACTAACATATTTGGAAACAATGTAACTCGAGCAAATCACACTACATTCCCAGCCTTAAACGGTTTAGGCCTTTCTATGGCAAGGTTAGATTTGGCTGTAGGAGGAGTTGTTCCTGCACACTCTCATCGAACATCAGAAATGATTGTTCTTATAAACGGGACAATTATTGCAGGGATTATTGACACAAACAACACGGCATACTATAAAGTATTACTGCCGGGTGATTCTATGATTTTTCCACAGACCTTGCTTCACTTCCAGATCAATGTTGGTAAAACTCGAGCTCTTGCTTTTGTTGGGTTGAATGGAGCAAACCCAGGATTTCAAATTGCTTCCACCGCGCTGTTTGCCGGCAATTTACCACCCGAAATAGCTTCGGCAATCACACTCATAAGTCCTAAGGAAGTGAGACGCTTAAACCAAATATTTAGCGGAAATATCGCAGCTTCGTAAACTTATGTTTAAATCATTGATTACATGCATGTCATCACTTGTGTTTAATATGAAGTCCGGTTTATATATTAACCTGGTAGAATGTAGCAACTTTAAATGTCACACATACTCGTATCATATTGTAAAATAAAAAGTGATGAATAATTCGTGTTTTCTAGTATAAAAGTGTTACAATTGTGTTGTATATACTTATACGGGGCGTTTGACAACAGGCATAGGGATATTGAGGATAAGAAGGTAAGATAAGAATAGGGAATTATTAGGTGAGATAAAGATAAAAATTATGGTACCCATTATATAGAATGAGTTGGGAATTAAATTGGAATAAGTAGCAAATTTACTTAACTATCCTTACTAACTTTTCTCCTCTCTCCTTCCTTCCCTTTCATTAAGGGTAAAGTTGTCTTTTATTTTTAATTTTTATCCCCCAATCTTATACTTGCCCCCCCTTGTTATAGAAATAGAGGGATAAGCCCTATTTTGTCCCCATCCCTTTTATATGGGATAACTTGTATTCCCTCAAACAAACAAGGGATAAAGAGATACAAGGGATTTTAAATCTTTATCCCATCAATAATCCCCCCAAACAAACATTCTAATACTATCATTGCTTTTTTACATAGATCTTATGTTAAAACCTGGACAATTCTTCCAAATTTCAGCCAAATTCACGTGTAACCCAGCCAATTTTATTTTGTTATTAAAATAATTATCAAAGATAGCCTCCATTAAAGAACCCAAGTAAATGAACCTGCATACTATATACTCCCTTCATCCATAATATTTTCTCCCATTATAAAAATTTAAGTCAAACTTTAAAATCTTTGATAAAAAAAATACCCTTAATTCATTAATACTATATACTAACGTAATGACCAGAATTATCCCAGAAGTACAGATGTCGCGTTCATATTAAAAAATTTCCCGTCAATTTTTTTTTTTTTTTCCTTACAAAATATTAAGATAATTTAACTTTTAAAAAACCTATAACCTAAACAATCCAAAAAATAGAACAACAACAATTACTTTGAATAAATAAGAAAAGTGAGATAACGGATTAAAAAAGATTAAAAACAACTAACAATAACGTAAAGTCATAGTAAGTTAGTGATTTTTTACCCTTCAAATTTCTAACTCAATTCTACTGAAATTTATAGTTCCAAATAGAAATTTACCTAACTAAAAACCTTTATTTATATATCCAAATTTAGAAAATCTTTTATATTCCCTTAAATCTTCATTTACTGATCTATAAAATGAATTGTTCATTATTTACTTAAAATAGGGATTCCAACTCAATTTTAAATTTATAATTTGGGAGCAAACTACAAAAGTAGAGATACTTTATATTAATGTGTCTCATCAATAATAATTTGATAACGTAAATAGATATTTAAATGTATACAAAACCTATAAACAATACAAATTAAACTTAATGTAATTTATAAGAAAAAAAAGAAAAAATGAATATCCGAGCGTTGCTTGAGCAAAGAACTAGTAAGAAGTAATAAAGTCATATGGATCTTGTTGGATCCGTCTCATTGTACATTATATTAAAATCTAGTTTTTGTAATTTTTACATGTATGAAAATAGAGATAAATTTGTTTTAAAACGCGTCTTGGATATCGTGAAAAATCAAATAGAGTAAAATATCAAGGCTGTGAGAGTAATTAGTTCTTTTAGATGAAGACAGATGAAGACAGGTTGGCTTGCCTTGCATGGCTTCCTGTTGAAAGTATTGAACCCATTATTGTTTAGATTGGTAAGGTGTGCATCAATTCGTTTAGGAAGATGTTGGAGATTAGATATTGGCCGGATTATAAAGTAGTTTGTTACCCATTTTCTTTAGCTAATGTACTTAGTTGTATAAATAGCATACTTGTAAATAGTATGATGTAATAGTATCTTAATATCCTAACATTTCATTCTACAGAATATACTCTCATTTTCTCTCTCTTCCTCCAAGCTCCTTCAAGCTCTTCAATGGCAGCACTCTCTCTCTTCTCTTTTCTTCCTCCTTATTAGATTCACAAATTTAACATGGTATCAGAGCAGGATCGATTCCTAGCTCATAAATTCCGCGAATTTCTCTTTCAGTTTCAGAAATTTTCATCTTACTTTTCCAAATTTTCATTTACAATTTGTGGGTCGTATTTTTCTTAGTTCTTGATTGAATTCGAATAGTTCTGACAAGGATATACTTATATTCATACTGATTTTGTTCAAAACAAATTGGATTGATCGATTTATCGACTCTTGATTTTTCCCCAATTTCTAGGTTTATATTTCCAATTTCACTATTGTTGTTCGAATGTGAGAAAATTAGCGTCAAATTATAGGAATGTGAAATATGGAATGTGGGATTTATTCTTTAAGCGTGTGACCTAAACCATTGGTTTGTGCACTCGGTAAATCAAAAGTCTAAATTCGAATAACATAAAGGCTAAAACAAATTAACATGAACCTTATAAGAACATAAGAGTTAAGAAAAATAATATAAACCCTAAAGCAACTAAAAACATAGAGTTTAAATGCAAAGAATTTGTCTAATATATACTTCGAAACTCAAATACGCATATCGCAATCCTAAGTTTCATCCATTTCAGATATTCTTCGCTTTAAGTAATCCAAGGACCGAATGCACACACGCATATTGCAATCCTAAGTTTTTCATCAATTTATCATTATCAAAGGCTTCTTGCGTTCTTTTGTTATTGGCTACTTCTCGAGTCAAATCAGAAACATTGCCCCAATTCTGTATGAGCAGGCACACGTTCATATCTTAAACCTAATTCTTTAATCAACTCGTGATTATCAAATGCTTCTCGGGTTATGTCTTTATTAGCAACCTGTATAATCCTTTTCAAAATCTTGTCCCAATTATGGATCAAAAGTTCGTGTCGTTCGCTTGACACGCTATTAATGAAGTTTCAATTTCTCTAAATCGTATGGCCTCTAAAATGTGAAGTGTTAGGGTAAGAACAATAGTGAAAACGTAATTAGTCGAGAAATTGACAAAGTATGAGCGGCAAAAAAAAGCTATTAAGAAAATAACACCCAATGAGCACTTGAAAATAAATCCACTATATTAAAATGAGAGTACAATGACCCTAATTTATTAGGGTGAAAAATATTACAATATAACTCTCACAAATAAGGAACTCACTAGGGAGTATTAAAAAACATTTCATCTGTTCAAAAATACATGACACAGTTGACATTGTGCACATGCCAAATGCACTAGTTTGACTTTATTTTTATATAATTAAATATTATTGAAATTTATTTTAAAAATTATATTATGAACTTTATATTTATACCTATCTAACAACATATTTTATAATAAAAAAATATTTTTATTGTGTTAGTAAAAAATTTATAGTCAAAGTTAATGTATGAATAGTGAAAAAACTCCTGCATCTTATGTATTATGGGACAGAGGGAGTAGTGAAATTATACAAAGAGCAAATATAAATATGTGGTTTAGTAGGAAGGCTTTTATGTATTTTGGAATATGACAATATATTTGGAAACGAATAATCTTGTGGATGGATATAAAATGAGCCAAACCTCAACTATTTATACTTGTTGAGGTCGGTGGAATGTTGATGATATTTTACGAAGAAATTATCTAGATTTGCTTATGATATTGTAAGTTGACCATCGAGAATTGTTGAGTGTGTGTGCACTGACATACTCTTTAGAAGCATGAAGAATGCTTTTGGGCTTCTAACTGTTTTGGGCCACATGATACCCAACATGAAGAACAATGAGGGTAAAGTTTTTGTGTAAATAACCAATTCCTCCGTTTTTATTTAGTTGACACTTTTCTCTTATCACACTTGTCAACGCACTATTCCAACAATTAATATCCCTAATTCTTGATATTGTAAAATTATAAAAAGTAGATATTAATAAAATATACATTAAGATGATTTAAACAAGATTCCACCTGATTATGTATCGTAGCTATAAATCACAAAAGCTAATCAAATATAATTTGTAAATAGTGTAAAAGTTAAGTGGTGTCAACTAAAAATAAAGGAGGTCGTGTATTCTTAAGTGTCCTTCTTGAGAATGTAATTGAACTCTTCAACTGCATGACTGCATGTTGCAGGGTTAGGGGCCCTGCTGTAACAAGGCCTTTGAAAAATTGTAGTTCAAGTTTTGTAAGGTACACCAATCATCATCTTCCGAAAGTTTACATGTCATACCATACAAATCATCCTTTTAACCTTTATCATAAGGTCAATTACTTCCAAATTGTCCTTTGTTAATTTCTAAAGAAATTTAAAATTCTTTACCTTTGTTTTTATTGGATAAGGCTGGAATGCCATCAACGCATTCAACCCCCAACCGTGTTCGGAGATCGAGAATTAAACTCCAACCGTGTTCAGAGATCGAGAATTAAACTCCGGTACCGCTGATCTAAAGTAGGTTAAGTAGCTGGGCCTTTGATGAAACGATTCACGTTAATATGATCGAACTGTATTAACTTCATAATTGATAACTTTATTGCGATTGCCTAATCCCAAGAATTGTCTTAATGATATTATCTTCTTGTAAACCATTTTTGGTATGATTAAAGAGCTTAGATTTCTTGAAATGAAATGTGAGTAGCAGTAGTTGTAAGAACAAACAACTGTTTTTATAGAGGAGAGGAAACAAACTTAGGCGGTGTATGTAAATATATAATTATAAATGGATAATCTTTGTTATAAAATGGATAATCTTTGTTTTATGCCCAACTACTTTTTGACTTCCTCAAAAATAAAAATAAAAATAAAAAATTTTGACGGTTGATGATATTAATTTGGGAACATTTTTACTTCTAGTAGCATTTTTACCTCTAGTCCCTCTTACTAAAAATGATGTCATATTTTTTTTTTATTTCTTCACATGAGTACTTAAGTAAATATATCTTCCTTGCAAAATCGTTAGTAGTAATTTATTAACTATTACTAAAACAAAACGTTGCTAACGTCATTACTGTCCACAA